ATCCCAAAAATAACGCGGGACTCGTTCTTATGTCTTTTTTGATGCGATCTTGGAGGATGTGCAAAGTTCTAAGGCTTATTATCAGACTATATAGTACATTCCATCTCAGGAGAGAGTAAAATGAGGTTGATAGAACTATGTTGAAAGCAGATCCTTATGGGTTTTTGTTCAGATAATTTGTTACAAATATTCTAGATTAAATGATCCTCGAATATGGACCCAAATTGCAATGACCGTTGAAATGCTACTGACCAAGGCGTTGATAAGCCGTACTTTATCCAGAGAAACCTGTCTTGAAAATCTTCAGTACTGTCTTGTAGCGAAAACCCTCTAGAAAAACCGCTAGCACAGTCCAGTCTTGTGACATGAGGCTAGCTATTGGTTACGCCCGACTTGGGCCTGCCATGCTGCACGATAAAGGGGAACACAAGACCAAAAACACGGTTGTACTGTCAGTTAAGTACAAAGCTAGTGCATAGGCTTACAGGATGGCTGAATGGTCAAATATGTTCACTCGCTCGTTTGTGTCCAGCCGATGGCGAGGTTACTGCCATGATCATCCTCACACGTACCTGCTATCCAGACGGTGTGATGACCGAAGATGACCTTTGATACACGTCGTTCCCTTCACTTGCACTTTTCGGTCTGGGCATGTTCTAACAGGTTTAAGTGTTACCGCGGCGCATCACACCATCGGCCGGCTTGCTATAAATGAAAAATCGGGACTAAGCTTGCAAGTGGCGTAAAGTGCACACGAAGGGGAACCACTTAAAGTGAGAGGTGAGCTTTGGATGACCTCAGTTACAAACCACAGCAACACTCCTCTGTCGATGCTAAACTGTTAGCAGGACAATCCAATGGTATCCAAATTCTAGAAAACAAAAACAGACAATAGAATGATGATTCCTTCCTAATAAAGGTGCGCTCCCCCAACCGTTTTAAAAGTAGGAACATGAGAGCACTGGGTCGGTACTTTCATAAAATGTCAGTGGACAGATGGGAAACTTTTATTCCCGTGCTTACAAACTAGCAAAATTTTCAGCAGGAAGACAGGCTGACCAAAGGATTTGGTGAGAATAGCCACCGGCACTTTGAGTAAAACTGGGGGTATTCGGTCTATTTACTTTCTCAAGTTCCAGTTAGTTACCCGTTTGAACACAGCACTCGGATCCCTTTCACCTGAGCTTAGCACCTCATGGCGCCAGTGTACCTGCACAGATTAAGGCCGAGCAACGAAAGGCGTTCAAGCCACACGTTGTGTTCCCAGCAGTTGATACTGCCGCTTGTTCTCTGGAGATATTTCATCATGCCGGTAGTTCTTTTTTGCTAACTCGTTGGTTTCTCTGGCAATATCTGTTCAGTATTCTCTGTAGTGTTTCAAAGTTGCTCGTGCTACTTTCTGCAGGACTGTTCACAACTGAAGTTCTTACGATATACTGAGGGGTCTCGATTTGATAAGAACTGCCAACCTCCACCAGGCTTTCTAAAATCTCTTGACTGTATCGTATCAGCGATAGCCGTTGTGGGGAATCGTTTCCACATATGCCTATGATAGGAACAGCATCTCTAAAAATGCTCGACTGCAGGCACTATGTCGCAGGTGACGAGTCCCTGTTTTCAAACATTTTCCTCTGAGTTGGACTCATCGACCCCCTTTCTCTTTACACAGCGGAAGCACAAGACTCATCAAATGTACTGGTACTCAGTCTACTGATCGCAGCTCCGTTTTTTCGGCCATAGTGTCTTTAGATCGGTTATTAGACACATGCGGTATGCAAATTTTTTTATCCAGAATCGGTCAACTACATAAGAAGTAATCGAATGGGTATCAAATACAGCAGTGATGGCATCTTTTACTACGCAATAGTCCATATGGTCTTTCTCAGTGTTTAGCAGTCTATCTTCAGGCCTGGAAACCTGCTTTCTTATTCAGACCAATTAACAAGTTTTGTGGGGTGCGCAAAGATGACAGAAGTCTTTAGCTAAATAATATGTGTTGCTGTCATGTGAGTGCCATTACTTCGGCCCTCACTATTGTGTCACTAATACCATTGTTGTAGTTGTTTCTCAGATTTCACAGAATACTACGTAGTAGTCCCGTTAACTGCTATGTCGATGAAACTGGTCGCTTACAGTTATGGCCTAGTTTCCGCGACGGGTACTATGTTGACTCAGATAAACCAGGCACTAAATGTCCAGTTAATCAACCCACAAGTTAGTAGACAGGCTAGGCATGTTCGCACATTTTGTTGCGTTGAATGCACTCTCATCGATTTGCCATTCGGTGTTGTATACTGTGTGCAGCGCCCAAATCAGTCATCCAATCCACCTTAATGCACTGAGTTCTGAAGGTTGGTCTCTTTATTAAACCGCAAGTTTCAATAATCTATATATTGCATTTCCAACAGTAGCTATTTCGGGATTACCCGTTATAGCAACTTATTGGTTATATTTCGAAGCTATCATAATCTAAATAATTTTCCGTTGTGAGAATTGAAGCAGGGTGTTCAAGTTTGCTCTAGCTAGCGAAATGCATTCATTTGCAAACGAATTTGGTTTTTCGAGATACTCACCTGAAGTCCAGCTGTATCTCTCGTCTATGATGTTTTTAAGCCGTCGAAGAATTTCCAGGGACCCCATGAGTAGTGTATTACGTGTATACATGCATCGCACAATCTCGACTATTGTACCAAGTGAAACATGGGGCAGTCTGGTGCTGCTTAATAACGTCATAAACGAGAGATTCAGCTTAGTTCCAGGAAAGTCTCATGAAAAACCGGATCTGTTTGCAAATGAGTGTATTTCGCTAACCCCGTGCAATTAGGGTTCAACATAAGGTTGACCGTAACTCGGAGACCACGCGTACCTGGTGAGCTCCAAGAAGGGCGAAACCGGTTGGTGGGATGTCAAAAAATTGTCAGCAACCTTATGAGTGCTATGTTACGTTTCCCTAGCTACTTTAAACACACAAAGACTTCCTGTGGGAACTAATAATAGAGTCAATGAAAGCATTTGGAGAGCACACTACCAAAGCTGCCGAATTTACGAATCAGTGTTTACCTGCACTAAGGATAAAGCCCAGTTTGCAAGACCCAATTCTTTGAGTGTGTAGTAATTACGTAACTATCGTAATCGTAAATAATGGAAGTCAGAGTTTACGCCTTACTATAAAGTGGAGTGAGTGGCGCACGGCACCCATAGAATTACTGCTACACTAGGCCGCACCAGAAAAATACCAATTTGTTCTTCTTGAGAATGACAGGGACCCCTCACGTGCGTAATGCTTCCATTATTCTCCATACCATGTTCCATGCGGTGAAAAACAGAGAGGATAAAACCGGAGATTAAAAGCAAGATAGGGAATCTCTTAGATAGCTCGGACAGTTCATTTTAATCCTGAACTAACGACTCATTTCATGATGACTACACTATTTTCCGATTCCACTTTTTTTGACCGAACTAGTCAGTGAGATAAGAATCTCAGCCTTGGTGCTTGTTTTTTCGCTCTTCCTCGCATGCCCCCGCCAATTCTTACAGGCTGTACGGTAAATTGAGTTTTGTTGGTTGCTAGCGACACATCAGGTTTCCAAGCCAGCGTGCAATCGCACTCATTGTCAATCAGGTTGCCGTTGTAGTGACAAACAAGATCGATGCGTTGGTGATTGTCGCAAAACAAAATCGACGAATTTACAACCGTAGACAGAACTCGTATGATAATGATCATGGAAGGAGCTCTTGCAATATCATTGACTAAATAAAACAAGGTGCTTTATCTTGTGGTCAGCGATCGACTATGGATGTCTGATATCGGAAGTGCCGTTATGGTGATCAAGGATATCGGTTTAGTTCGCTTATTGCTGTTGGTCCTTAGGCAATTCAGCGATTACTGCCAGAAACTACTGACCTGTAGGTCCTTTTATTCGGACGCAACCCTGGCTTCCTAACTGTTCCTTTCAAGGTTTGGACAGCCTAGCAATACCTCAGCATTAATCTATAATTTGGGCTACATGATAGCTGCGCGCAGAAAATGTGCCACAGCTGAACGATTATTATTAGCTTACTACTTTAAGCTGCTGTGTGACCTGTAACTGAGATATTCTGTCGATAACATGTTGCCAACACCTCATGCTCTGATATGCATGAGCTCTCATATTCAACATGCCCCGTGTGCATATTACGAGACTTTCCATCATACACATGAGATCAGGCCAAATGGTGATCAGAACTGTCAGATGTAAAGACAATAAGCTGACCCAGTAGCACGTCTGCTCACCATCACCGTGACTGAATGTTTGCGCCAAGTCAGCCAAGAGCAACAACGGGAATGCTGAACCATGCCGCACCACTGCATGATCAGCAAAAGAACTTTCCAAGTACACGGATATTCTAGACCACAGTGACAACCATCTGCGGATGTGTGGCTCCAGCGTTTGGGATGGTTTGACTCCTCAATGAAGCCATTATCGAAACCTGATCGAAAGGTACTGAGTCGTACCTATACTATCCAAGGATATCCAATAGCATGACGCCTGGAATACTTATCCAGAAACTGCCGGTGTTTTGCTTATGGGAGCCTAGGACCATATGATGCCAAAAATCCCATTTAAAATCACCGAACGTTGTACCAACCTAACCACCTAAGTGTCCCATGCTGTCCGTTACTGACGCGGAAAAGTTAGGGGCCTCAATAGTGTTGCGAACCATTCTTAAACTGTGTCCACCTCCGGTTTTATGTTGCATTCGTCTCGCTCTGATCTGTTCTTGTGATGTTTCAATTTCAATACTCCTGTAATCCTCCTTTCAGATAACATCGTGAAACTAATCCCTGGCTCGAGAAATATTCTAAAATACACCTCACTGCCTGCACAGCCAGATGTCTTGTCATTCTAAACCTTTCGATTTTTATTACCACTGATTAACTGACTTCTATTTAACTGATACGCATGTAGCTGTGATCGTCTATCAATTAAAAAACAATGATATTGCTGCTAATTACCAGGATCATACGCTTTGTAAGACACAGTATACTGATGTGGACTGAAAACCTTCACCATGCTTCAAAAGGGAGCCACAAATGATAACATCATTCAATATTTCGGAGATGTAGTTCGCTAGTGTTCCTCCTAAATCATTTGAGCCATGTTCATATTGGCGGAAGGGCATCCAAACGGGCTTATCGGAATCCTTTAGAGCCAACTGCAGACATAAGTCATTCTCCTGGTGTGAATATGAATTCAGCGACCAAGCTTGGAAGCTTCAGTTAACAAAAAGCCACACAGTACCCGTGTACCACACATACACAGGCACCGTGCGCTACCTCCGCCTTTTGCGTACGATTAACTCTTCCAACAAAGGAAATTATTCTTGTAAGAACTAGAGGAGGCCTCCACTTAGATGATGGTGAGCAAAATTGCCGTATGATTCTTCGAAAAGGTTCTTACAAAACATAATGAAGAAGTAATGCTCACAGAAATAATTTAAACAGCAAAGTCCAATTTAGTAACACTTTTCCAGTAGGGGTGACAGCTTACATGAAGTTTGAATGTGAATCCCTCTTAATCGTTGCTGAACATGTTTGATGGAGTGAAAGGCAAGAACATGGTGAATGTTGCGATGAGTTTTCTTCAGCAACGCAGAATGCTGACAAAAATGGACCGCGTCATTACACCCATTGTCTGCTTAATCAAGATGATCTGTTAAGATAACTTTGCCAAATGTTTGACTACAGATGTTAGCATGGATGACAAAGTCCTCAAAACCGTTTGACATCAACCCCATCAAATGTTTGACTACAGAGGTTAGCATGGATGACAAAGTCCGTAATGTCCTCAAAACCGTTTGACATCAACCCCATATTTTGAATTATGTTGTCGACTGTCTTTTTTTACTGCTTCTCAATAACCAACCCCAAAATTAAAACGCCAAAATCTAGTTGACAAGCTGATTGACATACATGCTCTAGGATGGATCATATAAGCTCATATAGTTTCCACCAGAGTGGGCAAGGTATGACTGACAGAACGACATACATTCAGTCGATGTTTTATTTCTTGTTTCTCATATAAATGCAGAAAAAACTCAATTGAGCTTCCATTCTTTATCCTTCTTCTACTGCTTCATTAGAATTATGAATAACCTGTTAGGACGTAAATGTGATTCACCTTGAGTTCATGGGTTGAAGTAAATGCTATAAAAAACCGTGCAGAAAAAATCTAGTTTGAATTGGAATGATCGAAAAAAAGAGATCTAATTTTCCGGGAGAACTGATAACTACTCACCTCTTTCCCGCCACTTTCTGTGAACAGCTAGGTGACTGGGCTATCGTGGAAGGAAAAAATGACAAAGTAAAGTGATTGCTTATTTCATAAGGAAACTCAGCAACTTATCAAAGGTTCCCCAGTACAAATCCCTACATTTATTCTCAGATTGGGGTCACCAAACGTCCGGGTAGCTAATTTAGAAGTATAGGGAGACCTACCTATACCCGCAGTTTTTTCGAACAACTTATAAATATATATTTCTTTGAACCACTTGACAATGGTTGCTTACAAATAGAAAGGCCATCACGCATACATGGTTAACATATATTACCTTCGGAAAGATATCTCTGTGAAACAAATAACCCGTACGTTTTGAAAAGTATTTTGCCTCAGAAAAGTGGCATTCTATGCACGAAAAAGATTATGTCTTCATTTTAACGAAGTTCTAATAGATACCGTCGCTGAATACTCTCATTTTTATCTTTTATCCCCTGAAGGAAGGTACGTCCTAGAAGGGTTTCTCACAGCATGTACATTTGACTATGTATCTGCCGACACATCCAGTTTGATTTTCGGTATCAGTCTCTATGTTGGCGGATTTCTATGCCCACTCGCCGTGATCGTATACGCTTACGTCGGCATAATCTGCTTTGTGAGGAAGACCGAGCGTCAGTTGTCAGTATATTCCACTGTTAGAGTATCAGGTAAGTTTCATTAAATTTCTCGATGAATAATAGCAAAAAGAAGTTGATGCCTTGACTTCCGATTGTATGTGGTATTAATGAAAAGAACACCCTTGTGGATGGATGCAAAACTTCCGCTTACCAGAGTTTTACTCTACCAACTGAGCGCGCATTTTGAACCCAAAATTCACACATGGCACCTTTCCGGTTGGCGAATGGTCAGCGCTACATACCTGCCCGTTGAGTGTTTCCTTGGTTCAAATTGATCTTGTACTTGAAGATTTCTCCTTAATAACCCAAGCTAACCCTACAACAGACGGGAAAGTTGATCCCACCAGGACCAATACAGTGAAGTTTGATTGAAACTCTTCAAACAGCAACCATCGTCTGCTATATATAATCCAAACTGGTAAATCAAACCCGTTTCAGATGAACCTAATCAATGAATACAAGTGGCACCAACTTGATATAATCATACTGAACAATGTTTTTCTCCAAAATGAAGGACACCGACGATTTTTACAGTATTATCACGATGCCAACCACCAGTGGCACAATATACAGAAAATACTAAGAGGCCCTCAGTGTTGCCTAAATTTGCCACTCCCAAATCCAGGCAATTTTCACACTATATACTTACTTTTGATTGAAATCCGACAGATATCCTGTTAACTTACAATCAACTGTTTTGCAGTGCTTTGAACTTGATTAACAATATGGAAAGCTGTTAGCGTTCACATCTCGGTAATCGTATTTTGCATACGGTCCAAGATCCAAGAACTAGGTTTATACGATACCTGCAACTGAAGACTGTTTGATAGTAGCAGTCTTTGAGCTTTCCTGCCACAATATTAATTGGATTTCTTCACATGCTCGCGTAAAGATAATCGCGGGAATTTTCCCCCGGAAGAGTCATCCTCGAAAACCGTGTAACATTACCAGGCATTAGTTGCAGTAAAAGGCAAACAAGTTGACGTCATACTGAGTGGTTTATTCTTTCTCTTAAGAATAGCAACAAACTACACACCACAATTAAATCTCATATAAAACAACCACCTTGTTCATGGAACTTATATTGACAGCCTTGAATCATGGCGAAAAAGAGGCAACCTTTGTTATCAGCCTTTGCTTTGTCCGACATGAGCTACTGTTTACTCCTCTCAGTCTGCTAAAAGATATTACTGTGTATACCCAGAGTATCCGAAAGCACACCTCCCGTTAATTATACCCTATGCTAACTACTCAAGTTCATCAATAATAATTCATTGCTGTTAGGTGGAACTGCAATCTTGGTCAGCATGTGACCAGCCTCACTAGAAACCATCGTCTAAAAAAATGAGCATTTTCATCGCAAAGAAGACAATTGGTATGTGGGTCCACAAGTCAGAATACCTAGTATTCACAACGTTCCCATGAATAGATAGAAGGATGAGATTGTTCAGCAGAAAAATTCATGTCTTCACGCCATCATACAGTACATGGAGTTGTTCCTCGTTCTATCTTGTGAAGGTGTTGGACAGAAAATCCGGAGTCTCAGGCCCTACTCGAATGCACTTATGTAGTAACATAAGTGTCCAAGAATGCAAATGTCTATTTAGTGCCTGCAATGGAATAGATATGAAAGACCGCCGGTCAAAATTTTATCTAAAACGCTTCACACATACCGAAAACACAATGAGGAGATTTGCAAAGGTTGTGAAGTTAAAACTCCGGGAAAGATCATCTAAAATTCCCTAGACGAGGCGATAGTCTTATGATTGCGTGGCGCTCTCCGTTCCGTTCATCAAAGGAATATTCTTGTACGTTACGATCAATTTTTCATAGAACTGGTCACGTGCTGAAGAAAATTTATTTATTCACACCCTTCGAGTAGGGATGATTCGTAATAAGGGCGAACAGTCCCAGAATTTTCACCTCCCGGTATCCCTACTCGACCCACCAACGACACCAGAATGACACGGCGCACTCGTGATCGAATGTCCAATGAAGTTTACAGAATCCCCAGACGTCGAATGGGGAATAATTAATCCAAACTGTGCAGTGGATAACCTGCCATTACTAGGAGGCATTTTGCTTGCATTTCTGTTGGCAATCGTGAGAACGCACCGCAGTGCTACGGAAGCCAAAATTTGTCTTGTACCGTGTTGAGTGGGTTTTAGGCCTAGGTCCAGTGAAAGGAACATTGCAACCAGCGAATTGTTCCGATGCTTTCAAAAATTTCATGTAGGCCTGCTAACGCTGTTGGCTACACCAACCTATTACAACCCAAATCACAAATAGTAATAACTTTGTGTGTTTTGTTCACAGTGCCAGGAGGAAATTCAAAATGCCATCAGAAATGTGTAAAAACATGAGAAATAGGCAATAACTCCCCCGTGAAGTCATACACTTCGTGCAGAAATCAGTTTTGGCCAACGGTAACGATGATATCGCCCCACTCTTCGCGGCTCAGTTCAAGTTTCACACAAACCAAGCTTACCCACTTATTAGCATGGTGATGATGTTATCAATGAATCCGAGGAGAAATGCATTATTCACGTGAAACGCCAAACAACAAATAATGGATCCCACCAACTCTGTCCGGCTAACAGCATTCATCAGATAAGTGATCCATCGAGAGAAAAATCCTCGACCGAACAATGCATGTCAGTTACGCAAAAGCGAAATGTTTAGTGTTAGAATAACTATGGAAAAACCTTACAGTTTTTAATCCCCTAACGTAAAATGAGGATTTATCTTAGAGAGTTAATATTTTCAAAGCAGCTTGTGTATGTGTTACTGATCGATATGTGGTGACTTTGTGAGTCCGGCTGGAATTCAGGCAATTCTGAACAGAAATGAAGTTACACAAAGACATGCAGTGTTATGAGTTCAAGAACTATTTACTTGGTTTATTATTTTAATAATATTTCCCGGGTTATCCGCCTTGTTTGGCCACAATACAACGCCTGAATCATAGCCTGCAAATGCCATCAATGTCCTTGTTGCGTGTACCTGTAGGAAATAAATCCAGTCCCTAAAAACCATATCAAAAATCAAGGCCAAACATTTAAAAAATGTCACCCAACAAACTGGTCCACTACTCTGGTCAACATCTGTATGATGATCAAAGAACTCGTTCATCTTGAAGGATTAATCACGCTAGAAAAGAGCACAAGACATTCTAAACAGCAAACCATTTGTTCTCTTACAGCCACATATGATTTTCTTGGTCATTTTCAGGTACCAATAGACTACAAATGAAAGCTTCAAAATGGTCGGCCTTATTAACACTACTATACCTTTCTGCCTGGGGTCCTTATGCTTTGATTTGCGGGATATCCCTGCTAGGGTACCAGAAGCACCTGACGCCATATGTAACGGAATTTCCCGGTCTATTTGCCAAACTGGCTTCGATTTACAATCCCCTAATCTACGTATTCAGGCACTCGAGAACTCGTGCAAAGAATGTGCAAGGATGTCGCTTTTGTCGACGTACCAAAAGCAAAATATTCAATACTGAAGGAATGGATTCGGCCCATCAACAGACATGAAATTTCCAACGCTGTTTCCCTTACCCGAGTGTGAATTATCATAGTAAACTTTCTTCACAGAAGTTTTTTCTTTGCATAAAAAAACAAACAGATGCCAGTCACACGCGGTCACACTGGCCAGATCATGTAGACTTTTGGAAGGGGGAAATCAATATACAAATTAAAGCATCGATTTATTTTCTTGAAAACACTGGTCATGGTTGGACAGGAATTCTCGTCGATGGATAACTTCTGTGACTTTACTCAGCATGTTACAGTATAGTACCGCTGTTCTGAACAAATCACGATCAAAAAGATGTCGTCACTGCATGTACCTAAACCATGATTACCGACCTCAACCACAAGGACGCTAAATCAGACTGATTAAATTGAAGTCATACAGTATCCTGTTGTAGGATGGCGACCGCCAGTAGGCAAGTACGGGTTATATACAGTTGTAGCCCTCCACTATGGACCGTAGAATAACAATAACTTAAAAAACCTAGCCGGTGTACAAAGTAGTTATCGTGAGGATGATGGCAAATCGGAACATCAGACAAGCTGAAAAAGCTGTATCATCAAATCCCACAAGAAAACTGTCTAGATGAGTACTGAAAATGTTCCCTTGATTCTCCGTCTGAGCAGCTGAAATGCCAAAACTGGTGTTCTCATGAAATGGTTACGAAAGCTTAGTATCCGGATCAAATTCACTGGTCATCAGTGATCATGCCACTGGAAGAATGGGCCTGGTAATAAGCGAAAGGAGGTCCGCGAGATACTGAATACGGTGCTGCGCGTAGCTTCTTGTCGCCCATGTAAACCGTAGGGAATGGTTTGCTTGGTAAAAAAAAACCCACAGACGTCCATTAAATGTCATTAGCTGGTAGTAGTATTATTTGCTTATAACAAGCGTTAGTACTGTGCAAATCTGGATCTTAGGTAACGTCGATTTCACTGGCGATGTAGCGTTTATTGTTATCGACGTTTGGAGCCTAGAGTTTCGGCTACTCTGCAATCCAAGATCACCAGGGCCAATAGCACAGTTGGATGAAGGTAAGGAGCATTTATGCTGTGAGGGATAGATTGCCATAGTTATTAACGCTGAAGCTATCATTGTGATGGTTGATTACACTAAATAATGTTCACACTGACATAGATGGAGCATTCATAATGTTGTAAATGTTGCAGTTAATTTCATACATGAGTGGGCATTCAAGTTTTCTGCAACTGGTAATATCAGGTCATTCAGCAGCTCAGGGGGGACACTACTGTAGTGGTAGCGGTTATACTTCTTGTGAGAAAGTTCTAGGCACCTCGCTCAGAAACAACCATAATAGCAGCTAGTTTTTGGATGCTAGTTGCTATTACACTTCTTCTTGGGTTGCGCCTACGGTGGCTACCAACGTAAGATATTCAGTTTTCTGAGTGAGGCAGAACATTGAGTAAAGGAAGACTCACGCTCTTCATTGACGAGCGAATCTGTGTGACCCGTCTGATGTATCGACTTTCATGCTTTATGGTCATTAACTAATTCTGGTTCAGCTTTATCAGTTGCATCTGTGAATGGAGTTGTATGTTGCAAGCAGGCCTCTAACTGCGCAGAGATGACAACTGATCGCATTTGCCTAAATTGTCTTAACCGATGTTACACCCATGTCATCCGCCCTTAATTAAGTTAGGTGTTCAACAACTAGCAGGAAGGTAGCTGGTTCGAAACGCTGACTTTTGCTCACTGTTGATGATTGCCAGTAAGGATGGGGTAGCTGTATAGTCTTTTCCGCTTTTTAGCATACATTGGCTTCACTGCCAGGGCAAAATCCCATTTGTAAAGTACTATCAAAAACCAAAGTTTTCGGAATTGGGTAGGCTCAATCAGGATTCTCCATGGTTTATTTACCTATCCGGGTTAGAATTCGAGCCAGTGGAATTTATTCATTCAAAAGCTAACGTATGAGCTACTGGAATTGTGCATCGTCCACACGAATAATGACATGATACATCCTGCCCAGGTTACATTATACTTTCCTGATTGCAAATTGCAGTACTTGGGCTATTTCGGTTGCCTAAGCGGCTCTACATATGGAGGTGAAGTTCGTACTCCGAGATTCATCACATTATTTACGAAGTAGGCAGATCTAGAATACCATCGTTAAGGTGAATCACAATCGTAAATACATTTTTAGTTTTTCTCACCAGGACAAGGCATGGTAACACGCCCGCCTCGCATGTCAGATGTGCAGAGTTCAAAACCCGGCAAAACCATCGGACTCAAGTCCTGTGCTTCCCAACCCCCTGATGTGAACTCACCAGGAAGATTGCACGGGAACAGGAGGACTATTGTTCATTGTCATGTGTGTGTATTATACATAAATCCCGCAACCAACAACACTTGAATGTATTATTTGCCAACTGCAGCGTTAAAGTATGGCTGCCCAGTAGGGACACAAAATGTTTGTCGAAACGGGAGGTGAACCCTTTCGACACTTTGTCAGGAGTCATTGCTTTGCAACAAGCACTGTTAAGAAGCAAAACACTGACGTCCAACTAATCCAAGTTCAACAGTCTTCCGTCAAACGCGCACATAAAAACCAAATTTAGAATCTCCTGTAATGTAAACTCGATGATGTAAAACCTGACAATAGTTCACGATTTTCGGTTAAACCTCAAGATATTTCATTGTGCAGCCTAGAAGAATAGTGTTACGACAAGTGCATAGAAATATGCAGGTGCCTAATCGAGTATGAAGGCTTCACGTGGAGAACGCAGGACAATAGGACTGACGACGTGCCTCGCTGCAGCAGCTACGTCATCGTCCAATGAATGTAGTAGATAGCGTTTAGAAAGCGATTGTGCCGTAATTATATGTGGCACTTACGAATGGACTTTAGAGATGCCACAGATTTCAAGTACAATAATAGCATGTTAGTCAACCTGTCTTTGAACTCGTAACTGAAGGGCTACGATAAATATGCGAGCTACACCTGAATGTTTCATTCGTACTTCGCCGTAGTTGTCCACCATCCTGTTTTAAATAGCGGACGAAATTTTTTCTACCTGACAAAAGTGAAAACCTGCCAGGCTGGTTCCTGGCCGCTGTGGCATGCTCACAGTTACGCCGGTTAGCGCGAACAAACCTGCGAATATTTAGCGATGAAGCGATAGATGTGTGCAGCACACCATCACAGAATTTGAGAACAAATAAAATTATTAGCAGATATAACCCAGGCCTGAGTGCAAATTGTGACGGGTAAAGTAACCAAAGTAAACGAGGAAAGTTAAACCAACAAAACGTCCTTCACAATACAAGCCCACAGAAGACATCAGACGCCACTGCTTAACCCTAATTGGTATGCTTTCTAACTTACAAAATGCAGCAGTAACTATTCAATGGTTATAGGGAGTTCAAAGTTTATTGGTTCCATAGGGGTTTTATCTATACCTACACATGGAATTTTAGTCTTATCATCAGCATAGGAATATAGTAGTCATTTTGACTAAAGGTAGAAACAAACAAGTACAAGGACAATTGGAGTCCATCGTACTGATCATACTGGTGGGAACCTGAAATCAGGTTATGTTGCATCAGCTATAGCGGAACGACTGTCGTGTGCAGTCCAACAACAACCATTAAAACGTCGCGCACACAGTCACTTTCCATCTACAACTTGAGCTGCGGCTAACACTTGTTGCAGGTCATCTATCATCACCGGTGTATCCCCAAGACGATGGCCTATATATTTGCGCCGAGTTGTTGCATGCACCGTTCAAGGTCGTGCGCGGTTAGTGTCACACAAAGTGTGGTACTTCATGGACGGACTCCATGACATGGTGACTTACGGTCGAAGCACAATTCTTCTGGGGCTTGCAGGTTCAGTCTTTACAGCTGTGCCAAATTTGGCAGTAAAAAGTACCTATTCACTATCTTAATATCTCTTGCCGCTTGTTTCAGTTGTTGCAAGCTACTCTGATAAAAATAAGACGCAGTGCAATGGGCAACCGATTTGAATATGTAAGAGAATAAAGCATCAAACGCTTAGTCGATGGCCGTCAAGCCTCAGGAAAGTGGATGCACATAAAAAACAGCTCAGAGGCAGTATAACTCGGAAAAACAAGTGATGAAACGGTTCAGAGACTAAATCACTATTTGTATCTGGCCCTCTCTGTTGTCCAAAACAACTCTTGGCTTAAAAACCTAGCAAGTTAAAATCGACTGCAGTTGAAAATTGATGGAATGCTCTAAGCTAGACCTACTCTTTTTTGAGGGGGAGGATGTTCACTCGAGCTGCATGGGTGACTTCTCCCCTATCTGTTGATCCGGGCAGCTTGGTCTGCGAAAATTTCGTCAGCAGATCCGATTTACATTTGCTGCAAACAGCGCAACACAAGGAAAAAAATAAACGGTCTTGAAGGTTACGCGTCCCGAAGATTTGAAACTGTGAACGATGTATCAGGTCAACTTTATGACCAGTTAATTGATTATGCTGGTTTTATCGTTGAAAGTCAAAGAGTTAAAGTTAAAGAGGCAGCATCAGACCAATGCACCACTGAAAAAGTGAATTACGGCGATTTCAAACCTCCTCAAACTGGACTTGAGATATTGTTGTTGGGATAGAAATCTCTTGTAGCCCTAAGCCAACTGGAGCTGGATACTCACTTTGAGCACGGCGTACCAGAAGTTCGGAGAGCAGAATCATCGGTTAGGCAGTTCATCCTAAAACTCAATTGCGCAGTGATTATCAAAACTGTTAGGCTGAGCGGATATGGCAGTCCACAGCCTGCGTGATACCGTACAGTTTATCGACAAACCAAATTTACTCAGGTAACCGAAAAATGTTCTCAGTTGATGCTTCAGCCTTGTCCATAAATGTTTCACTCAGTCGTGTTTGAAAACTTTTCACTTGACAACAACAGAGAACTTCGAATCCAACTTTGTATGCTGAGAGGAGTGCGGCTCAGATGAACGTTTATTTCTTGCTTGATGGTAAATACCCTAGACGGACAGAGGTTTTGAAAATGGACCC